CCTCTATGAATTGGCTACATTACTTTGTTCACCTCCCCCCCCACCCCAATCCGACGGCAGGCGGAGCGACGCGCCGGTTGGAGTATTTCTCGGTCGCATTTAATGGCAACATCGGCTCAAAGATTTGTTTCAAACCACCAAATGGAGACTGGCGTGCCGACAAGCGGACCCTGCTGGACGAGAGAGAGCAGGTATCCAGCAGTCTGCTGTTTGAAGGAGAGGCTTGCCACACATTTCTAAATCCTCAGGGAGCAGCTCTTTAACTACAGCCAGCTCCCCAATGTTTGCGTATACTGAAACGTCGATTCAAGCAGGAGTAAAGCTTCCAGGCGAACTAACAACTCGTTTCATATCATCTGGCCCATCTGTCTGACCTTTGTTAGTTCTGTACTACCGCTTGCTAGGATGAATCGGCTCTCAATGCACCTCGAAACGAAATCCGCGATGCGATAGTGTGTGTGAATAATATTTTATTCATTTGAATCATTCAAATATATGATATATAGATCATAATACTTATCAAAAGTGTGTGTGTTTTGCATCTGTATTGGATAAAGCAGTTAAGAGATGGATGGATGGAATATTTATGAAATGGAGTTCATAACAGACGTTCAGGAGGAAGGTCAGATCCTAATCTCACGCGGGTCTGCTCAGCTACAGTATGTGTATAGCTTTCTCACCCAGGTCTTCCTGGCCTTACCATATACTTTATACACATCTCCTCTCTCTATCACATTCAACAAATTAAAATCTAAAATCGAACTAATAACTGAAAAATGAAATATTGAATAATGAGACTTCCTCACACTTACATAGCGCTTACAATGGGGACTCCCCTCCTCTCCACCATCAATGTGTAGAATCCACCTGGATGATGCGACAGCACCAGTACTCTCAGATGGGGATTTTTAATGACCACAGGGAGTCAGGATTGCGGTCCTCGGGCCCCAACACTGTACTGGACCCTGAGGATCCACACAGATCACAGGGTGAGCACCCCTCTAACACTTGTTCCAGCAGGAACCTTAGCTTTCCCAGGAGGTCTCCCATCCAGGTACTGACCAGGCTCACACCTGCTGAGCTTTAGTGGGGCTGCTAGTTTTGAGTTACAGGGTGAAATAGCTGCTCTTGTTTCAGATGAAGGGTGTCTACATTTTTGCCTGCAACTGTAACCCCAGTCAGTCTTGAAGTCCAAATCAGTCTTAAAGTCTCAGTTGATTTTCAAGCTCAACATGTGAGCAAGAGAACAGCATTTTAGGGTTTATTGTATCATAAAGAAAAAGTGAAAACAGATTACACTGGACAAAATCTGAAATGCAGGTAGGCACCACACCTGACACGAGACTGAAAGTGAAAGCATACTGATTCCACTCTTCCTGGAGTGTGTTGATCTGACATGCCTGCAGAAATCTTTAAAAGTGTAAGCATAAAACATTGCATTTTTTTTAATAATACAAAGATGTTAATACTGGGAAAATCTAACAAAGAATGCAGGGATGAATAAATGAACGTTTTCTACTTAAGGGGGACAAATGAATTAAGGAGGGCACCTTTTTGAATGAATGAATCTATATGATGTTAGAATAATTCATAGAGAAAAGAGTTGGGAGAGTTTTATAGCAATTCATACTCAAACACAAAGCCAATAGCAGATACATTATTTTTCACATGCTTCTCCCAGGACATTTAGTTCCTCGGGTTTATACTTAACATTTTTTTTTCTTGTGAGCAATGTTGTGATGGCTATGTTTTGCCTCTGAGGAACATCTGCTCCCATGACAGATCTGTCTAAAAATGCTTTTTCCTCTGATATGACTGACCCTTCTGTTCCTATATCATTCCCAGGCCAGCACGGCATAAAATCTGTCTGATTAACACCAAAGGGGGGAGGTCATTTGACTCATCTAGCACATTTGTTAGTTAGTAGTAGTTAGTATGTTAACTAGTAACCTAGCAGGGGGGTTATACACTAACCCACACACACACACAAAAATAACACAGAGCTTGTCTGAGAACACCAGCAGGCAAGTAGAAAAGGGAGAACTGGTTTAGAGACTGACCTGCTGTACAGACAAAACTGACTGAGGTATAACACGTTTGTACCAAACAATCTCGACAGCTTGGAGAGTTTCCTTTCTGAAGGCATTTCTACACCTGGAGTCTCAAAAGACGCGCCACACAGTGTTCTGTTTCTCAACAGCCCGAAACTTCGAAACGCCAGCTGTTAAGTACCTCACTTGTACCTTTGCGCGCTCCGCTCTGCTTTCACACACGTACTGTGAAGCTCTCCACTACTTTTCCACATCCTGAGCCCCACAGAGCCCACAGCAGAATTACCATTCAGCAGAGGAGGGACGCACCTCTGACAGGCAATACTACAAGTTCCCAGATGAGCGACAGGTCGCGGAGTTAGCTGTCGACACAGCTGGCCCAGGGAATTCTCATGCCTTTGACTCACGCGTAATTAATCATGAGATTAATAGATTAACAAGTCTACCATCAATTAAAACGTATCTTATGCAGTGCATGTCGAGGAAAACAGCCTTAACAAAGTGCTATAAATGAAAAACAGTTGATATAATGTGTAACA